AAAAAATAATATTGTAATTGTAAATTTAAAATTATAAAATAAATCATAAAATGAACTTATAATTAATTTCGTAAGCTGACAAATGAAAAGAATCTAAATTTGATTGGTTGATTTCCACAAATTTAACATATTCATGAAAATGGGCCAAAAATGTTACATCATAAAAATCATATAGAATCGCGTATCTTTGAACAATAGAAGGAATAAAGGAAGTACTCTCCTGACCTCTGTATTATATTTATATAATATATTATACAATATATGTTTTCAAATTATTAATTAATTAAAATTTAAATATTTAAATTATTGTAATTTATAAAAAATGTGTTGTTTTGACATTTAGTTATTTAAAATATTTAAGAAATAAAAAGATAAATATCAAGTATTTAAAAAATTCATACAAGAAAACATCGAGAAAAGATTGAAGATCGAATAAATTCTTTTATATCAATCATGAAATAATTCCTAATTTTGGTTGTCCATTAAAAAATAAATTATTAAAATTTATAAAGTATTAAAATAATTACTTCGAAAATAATAAAATATTTTGAAAACAATACTAGTTTAAAAATAAAAAATTATGACTGATGAAAATTCATGCAAAAGTGTATGGAATAAAGTTCGTAAGTAATTTATATTTTTAATGTAAATTCTTTAGAATTTTTATAAATTAGTTTTTTTCTTAGATAATTTATTATTTAATTAGTAAATACTGGAATTATTTGGATTTCTTCACAAAAGAAATCTGCATGTCCTCCTTATATGAAAAAGAAAAAAATCGAAGAAGAATCCAAAAATGATTTAAAACCGTCCGACGAAGATAAAAAATTTGATTCCACAAAGAAATTCGAATATAAAAGTCCTACTGATTTCTGTTCTCCAATTAAATCTTGTTGTTATATTAAAATGCAGGTATTTTTAATAATTTATATTTACTTTTATATCAATCATCTTTGTGTGATCAATCATCTTACATTTTTGTATTATATTTTTTAAATCATTTTTTTTTCATTTATTAATTTTTAGATTAAAATTTTTGAATATAAAAACATGAAATTTATAAAAAAAATTATAGGATCCTTGTAGAGCATGTTGTTGTGAAGAAAAACCAAAGCCACCACCTCCTTGTCCACCTAAATGCGGTCCACAAGTACCACGTGAACCAGTGTGTGGTTGTGATCTTTGTCAAAAACATCCCGGTCATGAAAAATGTTGCGACAAGAATAGAGCATTTCGCGGTATAGATATTCATCGTGAATATTTCGAGAAGGCATAAAAACAATTTATTTTTATTATATTACATTAATCTTGTATAATATGCTTATATGCTGATAAATTGAAATTATTATAAAATTAGATGTGTATTTATATTGATTATTTTTAAAAAACACAAAAATATCTTAAAAATATTTTTCATTGAAATTAATAAAAAATATTTTATAAATTTAAAAAAAAATTATTCAAAATATAATAATATAAAAAAGTTATTAAATTTTATTTTATTAGAATTAAGAAATAAATGAATTTTTAATTGAATTTTTATTATTATCATTGATATATTCTCTGAAAATATTTATTAAATAACTTAAATATTAATATTATTGAAACTTATCTTAATGTTTTATCTATCATTAAAGATAAAAAATGATTAATATGACATTTTCAATTAACATACGTACTAAAAGTCAGATCTATTGGAATCAACCAATCAGATTGTTTTTGTAACCAATTTATGATGCAAAACGAACATAGAATAAAAATGTATAACATATTTTGTCTAAAAATGATATTATTGATATTGAATAATTATAAAATTAATTATTATAGATATAATTATGAGAAAATTATAAAATTATAAAATTATGAATTATAAAATTAATGAGAAAATGTTAATATCTCAAATAAAATTTAATATCAAAATTCATAATATTCATTAATTCATAATTATCTTGTATCAAATCTTTTTAAGATTTCGAAATATTTATTGATGTTTTAACCTCTTTAGGATCTTTATTTCAAAAATGAATATTTAATTTTAATCCTATGGAAAACTTATTTTTTCGTGAAATCATTACGAAAATAAATATACAATCTTTACTAACCAGAAAATTTTTTTAACCAGAAAATAAATTCCAATTATAAATAAAGAGGCTTCTTATATTTTTCTGAATATCGTAGTTCAGTCAACAATACTATTTTTTTTTAATGAATTTGAATATTTATTTTCACAAATATTAAAACTTACTAAATAGAAAAAAACGGTATTACATATATATATAATATATATATATATATAAAAATATATTTATTATTATCATTATTTATATTTGCTGATATCTTAAGAAATTTTATATTGATGATATAACTATATTTATGTACATATTGTACATAAATATAGCTATATAATCAATTATTTTTTATTTTTTTCATTTATCATAAATAAAATTAAAAAAAAAAAATTCTATAAAAAAATTAAAGATGTAGGGAATTTCTTTTTTATATATTTTTTGTGTATATAATATGATTAGACAAAGTCAATTAGTGAGATAATATATTAATTTTACAAATAATCTTATCAATATATATTGGTTTATAATATATGGGTGTAGTTTTCTAACAATTTTTAACAAATTTTTAACAAATAATCCTGGAAGTTGCAAAAGTAACTATATTTATCTCAACAATTATAATTTATCAGGTAATTTTTTCGAAATATTTTTTTTATGTAAAATATCTTACGATATAAGATAATTTTTATAAATATATATTATTTTCAAATAGTAAAAATTTTTACATAAATTATATTTTTTTATAATGTTAAATATATAAATATATATTTATCTTAATTTTATCTATTAATTATCTATTTAATTTATTTAAATAAATGTTCTAATTGCTAATATATTTGTGATATCTTTTCTTGATATATATATGACTAATATTAACAATTATATTAATATTAAATTTATTTTTAATTAAATTAATATTAATATTAAATTTATTTATAAAATTGTT